GAGCCAGGTTAACTCTGGCATTCAGGGCCGTCAGTGATGGGAAAGAGAGGAAAAGAAGTTGACCCTCACCCATGAAGTCTCCTTCCTTCCTTCTCAAAACGGCTAGAGTGATAAGCATCTCCACAAATATCTTCAAGAACAGATTACACAGAGACACTGGGAGAGCTCAGAAACTTTCACAAGGAGTAGATCATCCAGATTCCTGAAATCTGGAGGTCCCAGGTCCCTGGAAAACAGGTGTCTAATCATGAATCCCCCCTTTGCCCCCCATCCTCTCATCTCCTGCAGCATTTTCTACAAATCCCTCACATGTCACTGCACAGTTATTATTTGTGTCATATTTCTCTCCTCTACTAGACTAGGACCTGAGAATGTAGAAACCATATGTGTTCATCACTGCATTCTCACTGATAAGTGCTGTCCGTCCCTGGCTCCCAAGTGGTGCTTAATAGTGTTCGTAGAATGAAGGAATGGGGCAGGTCCTGTGGAGAGCCTTCAGCCATCCCTCTCTGCCAACCTGAAGCCCCAAGGGATCGGCCGGGGGCTACCTGGCCAGGACGTTTTGACCAACTGTATAGGATCCCTGATCTGATCAATAGACATTTTAACAGACATTCCCAGAATCTCATAGCTTAGAAAAGTCATATGAGAGAAAGTATTCACCAAACCCTAGTCCCTGTCCTCCTGGGGACACAGCTAGATGACATTTCTCAGCATCCCTTGGGTATCCAGGAGAAGAGTTGGCCGCTTCCAGGTCTGGCCCATGAGAAACCTTCTGCACAGTATTTCCACCCCATTTCCCCATCTGCTGGCTGAACGCAGAGGAGAGTAAGGCCCTAGAAAATCTGTGTGGAGCAGACCTCTCCCTTTGCCATATGCTCCGTCCTTAACTCTGAAGAGATTGAGAGATACACTTTATTATGTTTACCTAATGAGATGTTGGGGTTGTTTCTTACAGCAGTTAGTCGGCCCTGACCAACAGGCTCCTTTTATAGGCTGTTTCTGTGGACAGTTTTCCTATGTGCTTGATGCTATAGACTCAGATGGTAACACACAGTCACTGTCCTGTCAAAGAACTCAATCTTGAGACAAAGAAGCAGGTAATATCACTTCAAAGAGAAAGTCTATAAAATCCTGTCAGTTCTTCCTTCTAAAAGCCCTAAAATCGACCTTTCATTCTCTATTATCTATTTCAGAGAATTCTTTATAATTGATTACTGTCCTCTTATGTATACTGATATTTGTTAGTCTTAAACCTCAGACTCCCACTTTGGAGGTTTATCTGGGAACCCACACCACAGAGCCAAGCCCCTCTTTGCTGGATTAGGGATCCCCTGTGTGGATTGCAGTAAACCCAGCTAATCCTCGCTATGTCTCTGATTCTTTATTTCTTTTTTATCAAACCTCAGCACTCACCTCCATTTTTTCAAATCCAATCCTCAATTGTCAGTTCCCATCTTATTCAAATTCTCAGCCAGACTTGACATAAACATTTCCTCCCTCTCGATATATTTCTTTCCTCAGATTCTGGGACACATACCCTCTCGGGTGTTCACTGGTTACTTTTCTCAGTCTGCTTTGCTGAGTCTTCCTTTTCCCAAACTCTGAATCTTGGGAACCCTGGAGCTCAGTACTTTGAACTTCTGTTCTTTTCTCTCTGAACACTCTCCCTAAAGAATCTCATCCAATCCCAGGATTTTAAATACCAAACGTGCACACATAACTCCCAAGTCTCCAGCTCCAGCATTTTCCAGCCACTCCAGCCTCAGACATCCAATTGCCTACTTGACTCCTGTCCAAAAGAGAACTTTTACTTTCCTGCTAAAAATTCCCTATCATTCACCCACTTGCTTGAGCCAAAAACCTAAGCAGGACCTATCAAATGGACCTATCAGCAAGACTTTTTCAACTCTTCCTTCAAAACATATCCCAAATCCAACATTGCTTTTCACTGTCTCCATCAAAGCCACCATTATATCTTGCCTGGATTCCTGCAGTAGCATCGTAACTGGCTTCCTTGCTTCTCATGTTGCCTCTCTGCAGTCTATTCTCAACACAACAGCAGACAGTGATCTTAAAAAAACGCAAATCAGATGCTGTCACCCCCCAGCTCAGAAGTCCCTAGTGGTTTCCCATCACACTGAAAATAAATCCAAAGACATCACCATGGTCTGGAATAGTTTCCATAATGTGGCCCCAGCTTATCTCTTGCACCACATCTTCTGTCTTCTCTAGGCCCACTCACACTACCCCTTCCACACTCACGGGCATCCTTCCAGTTTCTCAAACACTCTGGATGTTTCCCACCTTAGGATTTTTATGTCTGCCCCCCACTCTGCCTGGAACAGGAGATCCTTGAGTCTTAATATGCTGATTCCTTCCTATCCATTGTGTCTTTTCTTAAATATCATCTCCTTAGAGGACCTGCCCTGACCTCCCTCCTGACTAAATCTTCCCCCTTCATTCTCTGTTCCTGTATCTGGCTAGTTTTCTTTATGGCCTAGCTTATGAAAAGCACTTAGTAAATACATATTGCATAAATGAGGCCATAACAAGAGAAAAACAACACATTACAAAGGATTGTCTAAAGCAGAGCAATGGAAGGATAGTAGAAGATAGAGTTGAGGGCCACTTAGAAGGAAGAACTGACAGGATTGGCAAGCTGATTAGAATGGGATGATACAGAAAGAGGAGTCCTGGATGACTGATGTTCTTGCTTGGGCAGTTGAGTAGATAATGGTGCCATTAACAGAAATAGCAGAGAAGAAGAAAGAGTGAGAGTGTATTGGAGGGGTTGGGACAATATTGAACTTAACTTGATCTGAGTTGCCGTGGGACAATCCAGAGACATATTTTAGAGGGCTGGTGGAAGTGGAACTTAGGAAAGAAATAGAAATATGAATGTGGGATTGCTCTACCTGCAGGTTTCCCAAGGAGCATACGTAGAAAGAAAAGTAGACCCAGGAACCTCTGGGAAACATCCACGCTTAGGAGGTAGACAAGGAAGAAGAGTCAGCATCTCCTGAGTCAGAATTAACCAGATACGTGACCTCGAAAAAGCTAATTGAAATTACTGGGCCTTCTTCATGTTGAGGATAAGGGATCAGACTAGGTCTATTCCAACTCTACACCATGTGAGCAGGTAAGAGTGGGACCAGACTCCTTGGGCTTGTGTCCTAGTGTCATTACCTCCTGGATGTCTGATTTGGAGCAAGATTTTTACTCTCTTTGTGGATTAATATCCTCCATTGTAAATGGGCAGAATAATAGCACCTATCTCTTACGGCTGTTGTGAGGATCAATAAATGGGAGAATATACCTGAAGCACTCAGATCTGTGCCTGGTGCATGGTAGTAGCTGCTCAATAAATGTTAGCTATTTAAAAAGACAACTTACAAGATTTTATTCATCCTTCCTTTCTAGGGTTCTCCATGGGGGAACCAGTATGAAGTGGTTCCTCTGCTCTGAGGAGAGAGGCACTTAGGTGGACAGAGTTGCCCGGTCTCCTCTAAGATGCACATAATCCACTTGAGACTGAATGTCCATTGAATGGAGGTTTTTTAGTCATAACCTTAGGCCTATGGTGCTGAAAATGAGGAGTAGAAAAATCCAAGAGAAAAAGTGGGTGGAGGGTGTTTTAAGAGGGAAAAAGTAAAAAAGAAAAAAAAAAAGTCTAAAGTACTGGAAAGAGAAAGGTGCAGGTGCTGAACTGGGATGGGGCAGCACTTGATCATGATGCTCTGTGGACCTTCCCTTGGTCTACATCCATGGCCCGCACAGCCAGACCACTATTTGTAGCTGGAAGATGGAGAAAGAACACTAAGATTATTCCTTATGGAGTCTCGGGCCTGACACCTCGGAATTAGATGACCTCTTACCAGCATAGGATCTGGCTTTTCTCCAATTTGCAACAGAAAAGAGAGAGGTGATTGCACCCTGGCTAGAGCCAGACATTTCCCGGCCTTTTCTGTGCTCTGGCTATCTTCCCTTCCTCTCCTTGGCGCCCTCTTCACTCATTTCCAGCATTTGTCAGGCTGCCTCTCCTCTTGTTCCTCACAAGGATATGTCCAGAGAGGGAGGCCAGAGGAAACGGATTCTTCTATTTCCCCTTTTGATCCCTGACCCTGGGCGTGGACTCCATTAGGAACTCTTTACTCATATCTTCTAGTTCCTTAAATTAGATGGCTTCGTGCCTCAGTATCTGAAACGCATCAGCAGCTGCAATCTCATGTGAAGGCTGCCATTACATGGGACACAGCTCTGGACACAAGACAGAACTATGCTAGATTCACCATTCTCTTCACAGTCATCATTTTCCACTCACTCCCCTGGTCAGGCACTTGATCCCGTCTTCTCTTTCATCTTCTCCAAGACCTAGTGCAGTGTCCTGCATTCAGGAAGTGTGGCCAACTGCCTGGAAATCTGTCTGTTTGATTTAGTCAGCCTCAGCAGGAAGCATGTATTTCTCATGGTTACTACGTCACCTCTTGCTGCCATTAGGAACTCCTAGGAACTTTGCTACTCTTCAAACACGCCACGCATGCTTCTGCCTCTGGCCTTTGGCAGTACTGTTCTCTCAACTTGCAATGCTTTTCTGCCAGGAAGTCCTGTGGCTTGCTTCTCTACAGCATCACCACTCTATTTTAAATTGCAACTTCAATGCGATATTCCTTAATCTAATTTATCTCCTGAGCATTTATCAACATGTGCCACACCATATATTTTACTATTTGTTTTGTTTTCTCTCCGTGTCCCTCCACTAGAAGGTAAGTTCTTCGTGAATGGGGAATTTCTGTTTTGCTAATTTCTGTGCCCCTGGCACCCAACTAGACTAGTAAGTGGGACATAGCTAGCGCTCATGGATCTTTGTTGAGTGAATGAATGAATGCATAGACTGAATAACAAAGCCCCAAAGGAAGAGGGAAAGTGAGGTGTCTAGGATGAGGGTGAAGAAATAGCCTCAGACAGGAGAAAGGACATGTGCTCCATTGAAATCAGAGGAAACAGGCCAGGAGAGGCAGGTGCAGGTGGTGGGGCAGGACGTTTGGGACTTCCCTCTTCTATCTTCTCGCTGAGGTCAGGGGTTGACTCACCATCAGAGATGTGAGGAAGGATGTGGTGGTGAGGATAACAGCTAATGTTCACTGATTATAGTTATGTGCTACATTCTGTACTGGGTACTCTCCACACCTTATCTCATTCCCTAACATCTACTCGGAGAAGTGGGTGTAATTAACCCAATTTTAGGTGAGGAATATAGAGTTTCAGAGAGGTTAAGGAACCTGCTCCAGCTGTCTGAGTAAGTAGAATAAACAGGGGCCAACCAGGAGTGTTGAACAGGCAACGGAAATGGGCACAGGCATGTGAAACCAAGTGATGTGTTTGGGGCACTGCAGGAGGTGTGGTCAGGCCAGTGTAGGCTGGCACATGGCAGAGAGTGTAGAAGGATGGAGCAGAAATAGAAGGACTGGACCACTGAGCGCCTGCAATGCAAGGATGAAATGTCTAGAGATTGGACTTTATCTTTTAGGGTATTTTTTCTTCAATTGAGTTCTGTAAAATTTTTCTTAGACAAAAACTAATTTCTAGAATACATCTGAAAATATGTCTTCAAACTCTTGAGGGAACTAATTTGAAAATGCAGCATTAAAAGTTAAAATCTGTCAGTAGGGGGTTCATTTCTCATGGATGGGATTATAAACACAGCAGTGAGCTTAGAAACTGGAACCACTCAGGGATACTTGATTACAAGGATGTTAACCAGGTGATACAGAGCCTGATTAGGTTGAGTTCATTTAAATTAAAAATGGCATTAAGACAATTTTACAAAATCTTTTAGAATTTACAAATCTGCATAGCACCCTCCTCCCCAGTAAGACTGCTAAGGGCAGTGGGAAGCCACAGGATGTCTGGGAACGCAGAGGAATATAATCAGATGTCTGTTTTAGCAAATTTATTATGAAACTCTAGACTGTGGTCACTACTGTCAATACAAAAAAATCTTATGTTGATTGTTTTCCAGATTTGTTGTCTGTTTCCTGATATTTATTTAGTCTTAAGAGGGAAAGGACAGCAGTCGCTCCTGGAGGAAGGGAAGCAGAAACCAGAGAGGTAGGGTGGTTTGTTGGTGAAGCTGTGAAGAGAAGAGCTGTGGTAAACTGAGTCCCAGGGATCTGTGATAAAAGAAGAGAGAAAAACTAGGGGAGGCTGTCCATGCTGAGAAGGGGCCCTGGGCTAAGCAGTAGAAAGGACTTGCCCTGAGGGGTAGGAGTGAAAGGAGCCCACCTGGGTGTGTGGTGGCAGCCTTGAGGAACCAAGGGTGCACAGGAGGAAGAGCAGGTTGATAAGTAAGGATATGGAGTTCAGTTTGGGGCACAAGTTTTAAAACACTTTGGAGCATCCATGAGGTGTGAGCCAGAGATATTGGGGTGATATGGGTTACTCCAGGTTGTGTAGGAGTGAGCAAGGCCTCAGAGGAAAGAATCAGGATAAAGGCACCCATTAAATGAGGCAGATGATGTCTTAGATTAAAAATAAAAATTCCAGTTTACTCATCATCCACATTCTGGGCTTTTCTCCAGCATAAAGCACAGCAAAGAAACCTTATAAGATAAATAGCATGTAAGGGGGTCACAAATCATACATAGAGGAGAGGGAAACACAGAACCTACTGAGCTCTCTTTGGAGTTTCTCTGCAAAAGGACAAGAAGTTAATCAGTACCGTCCATAGCAGAGGAGCCAGGTCTACTGGACAAAGGGGACTCTGGGAGACCCCTTCCTGGGTTGTGTGTGCAGTGAGTCCTGGGAGCTGTTCCAGAACTAGGAACACTAAGGCACAGTCAGGGGCACAGGTGGGGAAGGAAATGGAGCAGGGTTGGTGGTAGTGAGTGAGGAAGGACTGCATTAAAGACCTTTATTAAAATGTCCTCTGATCCTCTTCATCTTTGTCCGCTCCCTTTCCCTCAGTCCAACCACTTGCTCCACAGTCTTCTTTGGACCTCACTGCCTCGGTCTTCTGATTGCTTTACCTTTGGTCCAATTTCTCACTCTTTCTCCTGGTGAAATTGCCAGATGAAACTCAGCGCACCCACCAGGAGAAGTCCTGCAAGAAGTGAGAGTGAAGTCTGAGCTGCTGCCTTAGGACAGTCCTTCAGGAAGAGCATTACTAAGCTGGAATTGCTGAGCATTATTCCTTCAGAGAAAAGTTGGAAAGGGCCAAAACCAGCAGGTGCTGGGGCACAGAGGATGCCGCAAGTATTCTCCAAAATTCCTCGTCCAGCCCAATGGCAGGGAGGGGCCTGGCTGGGATAGTAACTCCAGCCTTGCCCCATTCTCTCCCACTGGATGGTTGGGAAACCAAGAAACCTTGAGTCATTGTGAAAAAACAAAAAAAGAAACAAAAAACCCCAGGACTTAAATCAGGGATGCACAAATCACCCCTGAAATATCGAACTAAAACTGATATCTGGAGGAATGGGAAGACATTGTTCCCTTTTCCTCAAATCATGTGAAGAGCAGCCTTCCAATGAGAATCATCTTGAATGTGGGAGCCCCTCAAGTTCATGCAAATATTGAGCAAAGTATATTTTTGGAAAGAAAGGGACAACAGTAGGAATGAGAAGCCCTGAGTACTAGTCCCATCCCAGCCGCTTACTCCACGTGTGGTTTCAGCCAAGCCACTTAGTGTCCCTCTGTCTTGACTTCCTACCTATAAGGAGAGTTCAAGAATGTTACCTGTTCTATTGACACTGCCGATCAATAAGAAAACTGTGAGAAGAGAAATTGACCATCCAGATGAACTTTTATGAATGTATTTCTCGTGAATTTTCCTCTGCACTCAGTGCATGCTAGTCATTTAGTAAGCATCCAATAAATACTGTTGAGTTGAGAAAAATGAGGGTGTAAACCCTTTGTTTGTCTCTCAGATAAAGGATTCCATGTGACGAGAAAGGCTTTTCAAAGAGGTATTGCAAATTCAGTAAAATATCCTCTACATAGAAAAAGTTACATTAACAAAATACAAACTACCTGTACAGCTGGAACCAATTCATAAATGGACAAAAATGTAACAGTCTAGGGCCTATGCATGCCCCAGGAGCAAATTTCCCCCAAATGTCTGACAAACATTGCTGTTGTGAGGATGAAAGGAACAGTGAGAAAAGAGTTATCTTCCTAATACAGTGGAATTTTTATTAAAAGCAGGTTCTGGCAATTTTTCTTGAAACTTGAGCATCATATTTTTTATTGGTTAGTCACTGTCTTCCACAGCAGCCCACACAGGGCTTTGTCATTAGCTGTATTTATGTTCTGCCTCCTTAAAATTTAACTGTAGAGTATGTGCTCTTCTGCATCATTCACTAGTTGTTTCACACAGGTAACAGCTTTAGAGTGAAAACCCTGTATGTCTTGATAAAAGATAATTTTCAGAAAACGTAAATATATGTAAAGAGCATGTGTCAAAGAGTTTATTTAACTTATTAATTAATGAGGAAACCAGTAAAATTGTTAAGAGTGGTTCAAATGAGGATTTGACTGGTAGAAACTTATATTCTCTATCAGAGAGAAATCCTGTGCGTTGCCAAGGACAAGAATCATTTGGATTACTGTCAGTGTTCGATGAATTAACACCTGTCTCTACAAATATGTAAAATATCCTAAAAAAGAAACAAGGGCACACTGCTGTAGAATCAGAGATTCCCGGTGTGAGGTCCACTAGGCAAAGCCACTATTCCATTGAAAAGATACCCAGTCATCTTTATGACCATTTGAAAGTCTTTCATGATTTTTTCTGGCAGTTCTTCTTTCTTTCTCCTACAGTGTTATGGACAAAGCAGGCAGTGGTGGTTCACTCAAAGGCAGAAATATTAGATAAAATATAAAACTGATGAACAGACTGTTTCCCAAAAAATACTGCCCAAGTGATGCTTAAAAAAGATGAAAAGGGATTTCCAGAAATGATTCAGACCACTTGTAAAGGGCCTAAGATGAAGAGGGAGGACTCCACACAAGCATACCCTCAGTTCCTTTTTTTTTTTTTGTGAGGAAGATCAGCCCTGAGCTAACATCCGTGCTAATCCTCCTCTTTTTGCTGAGGAAGACCGGCTCTGAGCTAACA